ACTACAGCTGAAATATTAATTTTCTGAAGAATAATGAAGAAACCTGACTTAATGCTTTACTGCAAGAGAAGGGTTTACAAGACAAACAATTCTTTCGCATGTTTGCACAATGTTCACACAAAGAAATCTGAAAATCTCATGTAAGCTGCTGTCAGAGATTTTTCAATGGCAATACAAAAGGAAATGCTTGCAACAAATTAGGTACCAACACATGAAGACTAATCAGAGATTGATTATTTCAATTTAGATGGTGCTCTCCTTTATTTTGCCTAAGGAGATGTTTATTAAGATGATTAGTGAAAGTATATTACATTATTTGAGAAGATGTAGTATTTACAAATCTAGACTCAGAATGCAGAAATACCTACAAGAATATTCACGCACAAGATTTCAGTCTAAATCAAACAGGAAGATGACTATTACATAGACTTGTTAATGCAAATAGTAACATCAAGCCTATTCACTGTAGTAATAGCTTACCCTTGTGGAAAAAATCCAAATCCATCCATTACTTTCATCTATTTGTTCACCTAGTCATTAGCATATCTTGCCAACATGGCTGGAATCACCGACTGAAAGAAATAATGACTCTCTAAATGGCACTTAACTAGGTCCCAACAGTGTTCATATATATAAAGCTGCAGAGGAATCTGAATACTTTTCACTTGAGTATCTACTATATTAACTGTCAAAGTGCACGTAGCAGGCCAAGAAAGTTCCTGTGTATGGTGCCTTATGTACCCCAGTGCAAACACAGCACACTCTCTAAGCAGTGGCTATATTAATATGTTTTAGCATTATTTACATCCAGCTTTATGTGAGCTGAAGGTGACATTTGTAGGTCTCCTACTCTTCACTTTATCCTTATGCAGCAACCCTATGAGGGAGGTCATGATGAGAGACACTGAATGGTTCAAGGTCACCTAGTCAGTTTCATGACTATGTGAAGACTTGCACTGGAATATTTCATGCACTATCTCAGGAGGAGAGGGCTACTTTATTTTAGCCCCAAAGCATATTTGTCTGTACAGTACCTCACAAAATATTAAGAGAGCAACAGCAAGAACTTTAATAAGAAAGCTCAGAGATGTCACAATGGTTTCCCTTAAAACAGGATCACGACAGTCAGAAGAGATGGCAAACGCCAACTAGTCCAACCCATTCTGCCATGCAGGAACACCCAATCAAAGCACTTCCAACAGATGGTCATCAACCTCTGTTTACACCCCTCCATCAGCCTCGAGGCAGCAGACTCTCACACTGTCAAACAGCTTTTACTATCAGGAACTTATTACTAATTCTCTGTAGTTCTCTGTAGTTCAAATCCAGAAAACAAGCCAACTCCATCTTGGTCATCCTTTCAAAAAAATTTAACATGGCTCTTAGCTGTGAAAACCCACTGGGAAATCACATATTCTCAGTGCCCTTCCACACTGCCATAAAACCCAGAAAATCAAGGCAGAATATCCCACAATATCCGCGGTGAACTGGGTCATCAGAATCCACACTACCATATATTCCAATTCAAAGCAGAAAATGTGAGATTTTATTCAGCTGCGTGGAAGCTGCCTGTCGCAGAAAATCCTGAGATAGGGTTTTTGCCATAACTTGGGAGTGATGTCAAGACAACTTCCCATCTGATATTGGAAACTAAGCATGGTCAACCTTGTTTGGGATTATGTCAATGAACTGTAGGTGCTGTAGTCTCTATTTCTGAGGGGAAAACTGGCCAAACTTCCTCTGAGAATTTCTTGCCCAAGAAACCCCTGTAAGGCTCATAAGTTTACGGACGACTTGGAGGCACGCAGACTCACAGATACATCATGGTACCAGCCTGTGACAATAGATCTCTTTCAACACCTTTCATCCCAAATATTTTTTTCCATTTACTTTACCTGGTTTTTTTTTTTGCCCAGTTCAAAAACAGGGACCTTGTAGCATAAGAAATAAATCTGGTAGCATGAGCTTTTGTAGACAAAGTCGTCTTCTGTGAATTCACCTGAGGAAGTAGATTTAGGTTGCATCTAAACTGCAGAATTAATGCTGTTTGGTGCCATTTTAGCTGCCATTACTCAATGCTATAGAATTATGGTAGTTGTTTTGTGGTGAGGCACTCAAATTCTTTGGCAACGAAGACTAAAAACATAAAACTACAACACTCGGAATTCCACAGCATTGTGCCGTGGCAGTTTAAGTGGTATCAAACTGCATGAATTCCTCAGGGCTCAGGGCTCTTCCCTTTGTTCCAGGATCTGATCCCAGGTTTTCTCCTTTAGACTGTATATTAGTCCATACTGCCAAATGATCTGGGATAAACAGAAAACCAGGGATCAAATCCTGGGTTAAAGGGCCTGTCTGGAAGGAGCTTCATTGATAGCGATTCCCAAACATTGGTCCTCTGGGTGTTTAGGACCTCAGCTTCCAGAAGCCTGAGCTTCATTGCCCATTAGTTGGGATTTTGGGGAGCCAATGAAAAAAAACACGAGGGACCAAAGTTTGGGAGTCTGTGATGGTGAAAGAATGCAATTTGGTTCCACTTTAACTGCTGTGGCTCAATGCTTTGGAATCGTAGGAGCTATAGTTTCATAAGATCTTGAGCCTTCTCTGACAAAAAAGCGTGGGCGCCTCACCAAACTACAACTCCAATGATCCCACAGCATTGAGCATAACAGTTAAAGTGGGGCCAGACTGCATTCATTCTACACTGCAGTCGCTTTCTGAGAGAACACAATTATCAGCGAAAGCCTTTGTAGACATGTCCCAGGATTACACAGCATTCCATACACTGCAGAAGTAATGGAAGATGTACCCATGCTACAACAGGCCTAGACAAACTTTTGCCCTCCGGGTGTTTTGGACAGGCTATTAGGAACTGTGGGAGTTGAAGTCCAAAACACCCAGAGGGCTAATGTTTGCCCAGGCCTGTTCTACCATGTAGGCAAGCCTATTATGCTTGTTTGGAGCTTACAGGGTGACTAGCCATGGTCAGGACCCCATAAACTCCAAACAGGCATGCATGCATTTTTAGATGGGTTCTCCATCATACCTGTATTTTAAAGAATTAATAATTATAACATCAACAACAAACAATCTAGGGCTGTTAGGAATTGTAGGAAGTCCAAAGGAGGGCTGAAGTTTGACCATGTCTGTACAGGACATTATATACTCATCTTCCATTTTAATTTAAATGGCAACCAAGTTGCTTCCCTCACCTCCCAGTCCTCTCCTTCTCACCTATTCTTCAAAAAAAAAATGCCAGCATAAAATCCATAGTTTAAAATTGACATTAAAAGTAGGTCATTGTTTTTATTACTACATAAAACAAGGCCTAGGTGGCTTCCCTCATGTCTCCCAATCCTTTCCCTTTAGAAAGATCTAAAGACTTGGTTTTTCTGATGTGCCTTTGGAGAGTGACCATATATACCAGTCCTGTTGTTTCACCTACACTGCTTCCCCCATACTGCACTTTCCCCCACCTTATTGAAAGTCTAAATCCACTGTTCAGTCCCCTATGAGCTCCTCCCCCACAAATGTACCTTTTTATTGCTATCTCATCCAGTGTTTTATCATTTTATGTCATGCATTTGGCCCACCCACTGTGTCTGATTTTCCATTATGTTATTTTGTACTGTTTATTTTACTTGATTGGTTTATTTATTTTATTGTGATGTTATTTTGTTGTTTATATTTAATGTTGCTGTAATGTATCGCTGGGCTTGGCCTCATGTAAACCGCTGCGAGTCCCCTTTAGGAAGATGGTGGCAGGGTATAAATAATAATAATAATTATTATTATTCCCTCTCATCCATTCTTGTAAAAATGCCAGCTTAAAATCCATGGTTTAAAATTGACATTAAAAGATAGGCCTTTTTTATTACTATGATTAATGGGTACATTGTATTGTCGAAGGCTTTCATGGTTGGAATCACTAGGTTCTTGTGGTTTTTTCGGGCTATAGGGCCATGTCCTAGAGGCATGCTCGCCTCTTGAACATGAGGCATGCTTGCCTCTGAGGATGCTTGCCATAGATGCAGGCGAAACGTCAGGAAAAATGCCTCTAGAATATGGCCCTATAGCCTGAAAAAACCTACAAGAACCTAATGGGTACATTGATGTGCTTTCGACTGATGACTCCTATGACATATGGCCTGTATTATGATCTGAATTGTCCTTCAATCTGATGTCCTATATTATATTAACTGATCCTATTAATTTGCTCTGTTTGCATGATTTTTCCTATGCCTTAATACATTGTCATCTACCTTACTAAACCGCTTTATCTTTTAACTAGTTCACGTAGTGGTTTTCCTCCCCTCTCCAAAATTAGTCTGCTGTTATTGTTGTTGCTAGCTATTTTTGTTATGTTGTTTTGTGCTATTTTAATTGTTATTGCTTTATCTTAATTGTATTCTGCCTGGGCTTGGGCCCCATGTAAGTCGCCCGGAGTCCCTTCGGGGAGATGAAGGCGGGGTAGAAAAATAAAGTTCTTTTCCATCTGGACTGTACAATAAGGGTAGTTTGGCACCTATTTGATTGCTACGGAACGATGGCTGTTATAGTTTGGACTCTTGGCATCATCCTCGGGATGGGGAATACAAACCACAGCTCCCAGGACCCCATAGCATTGGGCCTAGACAAGGAAAGGGGTGCCAAGCTGCCTTAATTCGAATGAAAGGATGGGAGAAGCGAAGCACCAGACCTTTGAGCAGGCATGGGCCAACTTGGGCCCTCCAGGTGTTTTGGACTTCAACTCCCACCATTCCTAACAGCCTCAGGCCCTTTCCTTTCCCCCCTCCGCCGCTTAAGCGTGGGGGGAAAAGGAAGGGGCCTGAGGCTGTTAGGAATGGTGGGAGTTGAAGTCCAAAACACCTGGAGGGCCCAAGTTGGCCCATGCCTGCCCTTGAGGCCCACAACAAGGCAACTACGAGGGGGCCTTGCCTCTCCCTCCGCCCGCCCTCTATGTAAACAAGGCCCGGCTTCTTCCCCTCAGAGACTCTCACCCTCAGAGCGGTTGGGATGAACGCGGCCTCTTCAGCAGCGAGCGAAAGGGAAGACCGAAGGGAGGGAAGAAGGAGAAGAAAGAAAAGGGAGGAAGACCAAATCACCTCCCCGCCGAGGAGACGGGCGCCTCCATCTGTAGCCGGGCCGCTGTGGCCTGCGCACCGGAAGCCGTGGCCTCCAGCGCGGCGTCACTTCCGCCGCCGGGAAGGCCGCTGACGTAGGAGGAGCTGGCAAGGCGAGGAAGGCTGGAACGAACCATTCTTCAGAGCGCTCGGGGAGGGGGGGGGAGCAGAGATGAATCGTTCTATGGGCTGGACCATGTGGAGAGTGAATAGGGGGAGGACAAGGTCTTTCTTCTTGCCTCCCAGATTATCCTCCCAGATTATCCTCTAAGAGGACTTACCTCTTAGAATCATAGAATCAAAGAGTTGGAAGAGACCTCATGGGCCATCCAGTCCAACCCCCTGCCAAGAAGCAGGAATATTGCATTCAAATCAACCCTGACAGATGGCCATCCAGCCTCTGTTTAAAAGCTTCCAAAGAAGGAGCCTCCACCACACTCCGGGGCAGAGAGTTCCACTGCTGAACGGCTCTCACAGTCAGGAAGTTCTTCCTCATGTTCAGATGGAATCTCCTCTCTTGTAGTTTGAAGCCATTGTTCCGCGTCCTAGTCTCCAGGGAAGCAGAAAACAAGATTGCTCCCTCCTCCCTGTGGCTTCCTCTCACATATTTATACATGGCTATCATATCCCTCTCAGCCTTCTCTTCTTCAGGCTAAACATGCCCAGCTCCTTAAGCCGCTCCTCATAGGGCTTGTTCTCCAGACCTTTTATCATTTTAGTCGCCCTCCTCTGGACACATTCCAGCTTGTCAATATCTCTCTTGAATTGTGGTGCCCAGAATTGGACACAATATTCCAGGTGTGGTCTAACCAAAGCAGAATAGAGGGGTAGCATTACTTCCCTAGATCTAGACACTATGCTCCTATTGATGCAGGCCAAAATCCCATTGGCTTTTTTTGCCGCCACATCACATTGTTGGCTCATGTTTAACTTATTGTCCACGAGGACTCCAAGATCTTTTTCACACGTACTGCTCTCGAGCCAGGCGTCCCCCATTCTGTATCTTTGCATTTCGTTTTTCCTGCCAAAGTGGAGTATCTTGCATTTGTCACTGTTGAACTTCATTTTGTTAGTTGTTGGAGGTTTCCAATAGAAGACTTACCCAGTTCAAGGTTGACATGAGCAGAGGATAATAATCATAATACATAATTATATAATAATATATAATATTATATATAATAATATATATAAATATATAGTAAAATATATATAAATAAATATATTATGAATAAATGTAATAATAAAATATAATACAAATATATATAGTATATATATATAATTTTATATATAGTATATATATATAATTTTATATATATTATATATAATAATTTACTATATATATATATATATATATCTGTGTATATGGTTATATGTATATATATGTATATATGTGTGTATATATATATAAAAATCTAATACAGGGGTCCTCAAACTTTTTAAACAGAGGGCCAGGTCACAGTCCCTCAAACTGTTTGTGGGCCGGATTATAGTTTTAAAAAAAATGAATGAATTCCTATGCACACTGTACATATCTTATTTGTAGTGCAAAAATATTTTAAAACAATACAATAATTAAAATTAAGAACAATTTTAACAAATATAAATTTATTAGTATTTCAATGGAAAGTGTGGGCCTGCTTTTTGGTTGATGGGATAGGATTGTTGTTATTATTGTGTGCTTTGAAGTAGTTTCATACTTAGGTTGACCCTGAGCGAGGGCCGGGTAAATGACCTTGGAGGGCCGCATCCGGCCCCCGGGCCTTAGTTTGAGGACCCCTGATCTAGTAATATATGGTTATAATTATATACATGTGTGTGTGTGTATATATATATATATATATACTATATATACTCGAATATAAGCTGAGCCCCCGGTGGTGCAGTGGGTTAAACCCCTGTGCCGGCAGCACTGATGACTGACAGGTCGCAGGTTCGAATCCGGGGAGAGCGCGGATGAGCTCCTTCTATCAGCTCCAGCTCCTCACGCGGGGACATGAGACAAGCCTCCCACAAGGATGATAAAACATCAAATCACCTGGGCGTCCCCTGGGCAACATCCTTGCAGACAGCCAATTCTCTCACACCAGAAGCGACTTGCAGTTTCTCAGGTTGCTCCTGACACCACAAAAAAAAAAAAAAAAAAGCTGACCCAAATATAAGCCAAGGCACCAGATTTTACAAAAAAAAACTGGGAAAATGTATTGACTTGAGTATAAGCCGAGGGTAGGAAATGCAGCAGCTACTGGTAAATTTCAAAATAAAAATAGATGCAATACAATTGCATTAATTGAGGCATCAGTATGTTAAATGTTTTGAATATTTACATAAAACTATAATTTAAGATAAGACTGTGGAACTCTGATTAAACCGTTATTCTAACTTTCTTCAATGTAAATTATTATTATTATTATTAACTTTATTTGTACCCCGCTAACATGTCCCGAAGGACTCAATGCGGCTTACAAAGGCCAAGGCCCTCAATAAAACAACAGCATAACAAATACAACAATAAAACTCATAAGGGATGTGCTTGCATATCCTTCCAATAAAAATAGAGTAAAATAACAAATGTAATAATAATAATAATATAGTAAAATAATGGAAATGTAATAATAACTACGGTAATAATAGAGTAAAATAATAAATATAATAAAACAATAGTAAAGTAGAATGATCAATGTAATAACAACAACAACAGTACATTTATTATGTATTTCTAACAGGGTAAAATAATAAATAACCTTGACTTGAATATAAGCCGAGCGGGACTTTTTCAGCCTAAAAAAAGGGCTGAAAAACTAGGCTTATACTCGAGTATATACAGTATATAATTTCTATATATAATGTTTATTATTATATACTAGCCATCCCCTGCCACGCATTGCTGTGGTCCAATCTTTGCATATGTGTTTTGTGTGTGTATATATGTGTATATGTATATATGTGGTTTTGCGCATGCGTTATTTGTTTTGGCTTTTTAAGTCTCATCCACTATGTTTTTCAGTGTTTTTATGAGTGATGGTCACTTGTTGGCCTGATAGGTGCATTGTGTCCAAATTTGATGTCAATTCGCACAGTGGCTTTGAGTTATGTTAATCCCACAAACCAACATTACATTTTACAGCAACGCGTGGCCAACCGGCTGTTAGGAATTGTGGGAGTTGAAGTCCAAAACACCCGGAGGGCCTAAGTTTGTCCATGCCTCCCTATTCTGATGCATCATTTCTGACTGCCCCTCTTGTGCTTATCAGTGACATGGTATGCACATAATAATAATTAGCAGAAGTAAAATGAGGCTTAGGAATTGGGGAAGATGTGGTCATCCTCAGTCTTGTGTTCAGCTGTGTTCACAAGTGAAACAGACACTGCTCAATCTTGCCACTAGATGGAGGAAAGTTGTTGGTAAGTCCTTTTCAGCATTCTTTCCAGTCTGAGCAAATGCAGGGCATTGTTCCATCTGAATTCAGGCAGCAGATTATTTAACAAATAGAGGCAAATAGTGTCATCCCTTCTGCATTGTTCTTTACTCTGACTTCCTCTTACAGATAATATCAAGTGTTCAGCATGCCTTCTAAGGTTGGCTCCACGCTGTAGAATTAATGTAGTTTGATACCACTTTTCCTACCATGGTGGGGGACATGAGCAAAGCCTCCTTGCAGGATCGTAACACATCCGGGCATCTCCTGGGCAACGTCTTTGTAGATGACTGATTCTCCCACATCAGAAGTGACTTATCAATTCACAATAAATAAATAACCTACCATGGTTCAATGGTATGGGATTGTGGTCATTGTAGTTTGATAAGACACCTTCACTCTTTGGTGGGAAAGGCAAAAGACGTTGTAAAATGACAGTTCTCCTGATTTGTAAGTACCGATGCACTTACAGTGGTATTAAACTGCATCAATATCAAAAGTGGACACAGAATTTAATAATCATTATGTGAGGAGGTAATTGTTGAAAATCTGAAACAGATATAAAGTCTTGTCGAAGGCTTTCATGGCCGGAATCACTGGGTTGTTGTAGGTTTTTTTCGGGCTATATGGCCATGTTCTAGAGCAGGGGTCCTCAAACTTTTTAAACAGAGGGCCAGGTCACAGTCCCTCAAACTGTTGGAGGGCCGGATTATAATTTGAAAAAAAGCATGAATGAATTCCTATGCACACTGCACATATCTTATTTGTAGTGCAAAAACCACTTAAAAACAATACAATAATTAAAATGAAGTACAATTTTAACAAATATAAACTTATTAGTATTTTAATGGGAAGTGTGGGCCTGCTTTTGGCTGATGAGATAGGATTGTTGTTGTTGTTGTGTGCTTTCAAGTCATTTCAGACTTAGGTTGACCCTGAGCGAGGGCCGGGTAAATGACCTTGGAGGGCCGTATCCGGCCCCCTGGCCTTAGTTTGAGGACCCCTGTTCTAGAGGCATTCTCTCCTGACGTTTCGCCTGCATCTATGGCAAGCATCCTCAGAGGTAGTGAGGTCTGTTGGAACTAGGAAAAAGAGTTTATATATCTGTGGAATGACTAGGGTGGCACAAAGGACTCTTGTCTGCTGGAGTCTGGTGTGAATGTTTAAACTGACAACCTTGATTAGCATTTGATGGCCTGGCAGTGCCTGGAGCAGGCATGTAGCCGGGGGAGAGGGGGGCTTGGGGGGGGCTTCAGCCTCCCCCCGAAATTCTCATGGTGGTTTGCGAAAAGGCCTTACTGGTGCATTATTTAAACTGTTATGTTTATTCATATCATGATCTGATCACCCTACTCAATATATCCCATATGCATGGGGATATTGGGGTAACGATACAAAAGGTTTGCTAGGGTAGACCCTCTTTCACTCGGACTCAGTCCCCCTCCCCCGAAACAAATTCAGCCCCCCCGAATCAAAATCAAAATCCTGGCTACGGGCCTGGCCTGGAGCAATCTTTTGTTGAAAGGTGATTAGATGTCCCTGATTGTTTTTCCTCTGCTGTTTAGCTGTTGTAATTTCAGAGTTTTTTTAATACTGGTAGCCAGATTTTGTGCATTTTCATGGTTTCCTCTCAACCATGGTTTCCCTGGTCTAT